AGTTAAAAAATTTTGAAGGACCCAAATTTGTAGCACACTGCAGTTGAAAAGTCTAAACTGCTAGACTAAATTTCTGTGCATTCTCAATACTTGAATATGGAATGTGTAGAGGGAAAAGAATTAACATTGCACTTTATTATCACTGTATTGTAAGTGCAAAATGCAATGTCTCAAATAAAGATGTATTTAAAATTGGCACCATTAAAAAATTATTATCATTCCATCATGTGAATGTAAAATCATTCTTAAGAAGTACAGTAGACACTAAGGCATTTATGGCAGAATCAGTCATTTTGTAAATTATTGTGTACGACCATTATTGTAGAATGTGTATGAGGATGCATGGGACGAGGAGGGACCAGAGGGCTGTAGATAGGCCTGGTGGTGATGGTGGTGGTGGTGGTGGGTGGGTTGGTTAATCATAGGGTCACACAATTTGGTGGTTGGAGGGAAGGATGCATAAAGGAAAGGAGAAGGACCGTGTTTGAAAAACAATGTATACGACCTTAAGTAAGCCAGTATAAAAGAAAAATTTTACTTTAAAAATGATTATCATTAAGGCAGTCTTTGAGAAGACTTAGTGTTTGCTCTCTGGGACATACATGTAGGCTGTGGTTCATTGGCTCTTAAAGATGTGAAGTAGAAGGAAAGATTGCCACGAGGCAAAATGCAAAAGATGAATGGTGATTTTGTATGTTTTTATAATTGAATTTCAACTATTGCCCATCAATAATAAGCACCCTCAATTTGGATATTATTTCAGGGTCTGGTGCTAAAATTCTATGATTCATTTTTGGAATTTGAAATTAAAATCATTCTTATGTAATTATATATTGATTTATTAAGACTTCTAACCATCTGGATAGTTACTTTATGGTTTGACACTCTTCCTTAGTCTTTTGTTTCACAGTTTCTATAAATGGCATCTCACAGTTTTTCTCAGTTCTTGAAAGATAAGCGTGCATGTGCGCGCACACACACACACATTATTGAGATTACATTTTGTTTTCTTAAAAGATGGCTTTCTATGTATGCCTTAAAGTGTGTAAGTAACACACACACTTTGCACTGTCTGCCACAGTTAGTGATCTTAGTATTTCTAATTTTGAAGAGACTGAGGAAAGATCTGTAGCAGCGATATAAGAATGGAGTAGGCTGTAGGGAGAGGTTAATTTTAACTGAGACATCAATTCTGGTAAGTAGACTTTTCCTCAGGCTAATTTCCCAAACATCTCTGTTGGCATTGTAGGAAACTCAGAGAGCTGTTAGGTGAAAAGAAACAGCATTAGCCATTGACACAGCTTTATAAAAAAAAATCCTAATGGAAGAATTGCATTTCTAGAAGCAGGTAATTTATAGCTATTTCTGGCAGTCAGGAAATCCTGGGTACTTGTTGCTGAGGCCCTGATAGACCTATAATAAGAAGGATGAGAGGACAGGAGTTGAGAAGGTTTCGTAGTGGAGGAACTTGGGTTGAGTCATGAAGGATGAGTAGGTCTGTTTCTGGGAAGCAGTCTTGATGAAGATCCGCAGCCAAGGGGCTAAGGCAGAAAAGTGCTCAGCAAATGTGATGAGCGAAACCGAAACAAGTTACAGTCAATAGAGCTTGTTGAAGAAAAAGTGGAAGGCGGAACTGTGTGTACAGATGGGGTGTGGATCGGTGCTTGGGGACTTGTGTGACAGCAGGCCTAGGATGTGGGAGGTGGTTATGGAGCATCTTGAAATCCAGAGAGAGGGTTTGAATTTGATACAGTTGGAAAATCTGGGTTTTACATCTGGGGTTTTATTATGCAGGCAACTTTAGAATGATCAGAGGAATATGATCAGTGGCAGATGTGCAAGTAGAAAGCTATGGCTTCAAGAACTATCTTAGAAGCAGAAGAAACTGGAATTTGGTTTGTTAATTGGAAAGACTGAAGAGTTAAAGCTGAGTGATTAATGAGGCTTATAGATAACCAGATAGTTCTTCATCCTTGGAGTTTTATGAGAATTAGACTGTAGTGGTGGTGGTGGGATATTTTTGTGGTGTGTTTTCTGTCCTGGTCAGAGGGTGGCTGTCTTCTCCGTGGGTAAAGCTAGTGGAATTTTTTTTTATTTTATTTTTTTAAATTTTATTATTTTTGTGTGAGTGTACCATCAAATCAGATCTGACTGGTACAGGAGGAGAAAAGCTAGTGGATTAGATCTGCCTGCCTTGGAGTTGGCAGTGCAGCTCCTTTAGGCTACCAGAGCTCACTAGATTGTGATAACAACTGCGGTATAGTATTCTCTTATCTCCGCTCATTTCAAAGATTTTAAAACAAAGGAGTTATCATTTTCCCCTAACAACTTTGTTAATGTTAAAGAAACTTTCTGGCTTTAATGTGCTCCATGTTAATATCCTAGGAATGACTGAAGTGCTCTTAATGCCCCCATGCTGGGCTGTCCCTGTCTGTAGTGTTTGGGTTCCTGAGAAGCACTGTCTGCCTAACATGCTGCATAAATACAGATGATTTTTATTACGAAAATAGTGTTCACTGTTTTATTTTCTCCTTCATTATAGTAACTGTTTTGTTTTTGTTGTTGTTGTTTTTTGTGTACCAGAGTCAGAACCGACGTATAGCAGACCCTTTGGCGGGTTTTTGGAGGCAGTTAATTGCACAGGAGATTGCCCATCCTTTTCCCGTGGAGCCTCTGATGGCCTCAAACTGTGTACATTCAGGATTGCAGCACAGCTTCTTGCCACTAGGCCTCCAGAGCTCCCATTATAGTACTAGACATGTCTAATCTCTTCCAATGCAATTACTGCCTCTCAACACCTGCTGGACGGTCAGCTAGGAGTCTGTTCTGACATAACTGTGTACAACAGACATAAACAAGAAATTAAAATGATTTGTGGTCCAACTCCTTAGAACCGTTGTTAATATCTGAGTAGTCGGATGGAATAGGCAAGTTTTCTGCCTCCGTTCTTTTCCCTTAGTACACATGGTTGTTCATTATGTTAGTGTTACTGTTGGGGAATTCTTGTGGTGGACGTAGTCTGGAAGAAACTGTGCTGCTTACCCAAAAGGCGGCACCTCTGGCAGTTCTGTCCACCAACTGCACCTCTAGAGAAAGAGGAGCGATCTCTTCCCATGTATTTACAGCCTCCTAAAGACTGCTGGAGAGTCACGTCTGAGTTGATTCTTTCTCCATGGCAAAGCATTTGAGTATTAATGTTATTGAAAACATGATAATTTCTATTTCTTTGGATGATGACTTCTTGGGTTTGCATTTTGAAATGCCATCGAGTTGACTGTGACTCCTAGCTACAACATAGTCCTACAGATCTGAACCTTGCCCTATCCTATGTCATCCTCAGAATCTCCACCAAGGCTCAAGCCCACTGTTACAGTTACCATACAGCCCATCTCTTTGAGGGTCTTCCTTTCTTTAACTGATCCTCTGCTTTCCCCAGAATGACGTCTTCTTCCAAGGACTGGCCCCTCTTGACACTATGACTGGAGTACATCATACCATGTTTGTCTTTAAGGAGCACCCATGATTGTACTTCCTCCAGAAGCTATGGGACAGCATAGTAAATTTTAAAGGAGCAAGTTACTAAATATACAATAAGCTGAATGAAGTGCAGTCTTGAAATGTTTAACTAGAAACGAAGCATTTAACCATTTGGAATAAACCACAAAGATAATAAACCACTTGTCTTTTTTGATTGGGTGGTATAAGTGAATGCTTGACTTAGAGTCAAACATTTGTTGGTACACATTTCCTTTTCTTTTCTCATTTATTCTCCACATTGAATTAATGCTATCATTTCTGATATTGTAAGCCTTTTAGAATGATTGTGTGATCTTGCTTACCACCTGACATCTATGGCTGTATAATAAATGTCCCTTATCTTTTTGACATTACAGTTGACTCATGTTGACCAAGCAACCTTCCAGGTTGATGCCTTTGGAACATCATTCATTCTTGATGTCATGTTAAACCAGTAAGTTTTTAAAAAATTATTTTTTTATCAGATCGATATTTAATGCACTTTTATATCCTTTGTAAAAATTTTGTTTTCTTAGTGAACATTTTTTCTGTATCCTAACTTTATTACAGTATTTAAAACTTTTATATCTACTAACTGTAAGTTATGGAGAGTGATTAGCAAGTCCAGGAAATGAATATATGTTTGAAATTGAATAACGGTAATAGACTTAAGAATGTAAGATGGAAAGCAAGATTTGCTTTGCATAAGACTATTTGTGACCAGTTTCCTAAGAATGACAGTAAGTAATGAAAACAGTACTTTGGATTTTGAAGCATCTTTCCTAAGAGAAGCTGAGAGAAGACTGTTTGCCCTTTTTACTAAATGATTCAGAGGATTGATAGGCTTGGTATCAGTGAGATGCTTTGATTTGGGGTTAGGTTTCTGTGAGAATTAGGACGCTTGGGATTAATCTGTAAGTGCAGTAAAATGTTTTCTTTTAGATTTAGGAGAACCTTTTGTAAATCACTGTATTTACTCTTATCTTCAGGAGGCATGGTTCTTAATAAGTGTTATAGGACTTTACCGTTTGAGTTTTCTCTTGTTCTTTTTGTAGCAGGCTAGTCAGTAGTCTGCCACACAGAGTTTCTGGGATGTGCAAGGTCAACACAGCTTTGCTGGAAGTAGCTATACAGCAGCTCAGGAAGAAATTTTGAGGCCAGAAGAGCAGATAGGTGGACCAAGAGCTAGACTGGAGCATTCTGTACCGGGGAACCAGTCAGAAGGAAGACTGAGTTAATAGAAAAAGAGTGTAAGATGTAGAACTCGGAGGTGTGTTGCCAGTATGGTGGCCACTAAGCTGTAGCTGTGGGAGGAGGATGGGCCGTTTCCTCTTGTGTCATTTACTACTTCTGAAAACCCGCTGGAGGGTCAGCTATGGGTTGGTTCTCACTCAACGGTAAACAACTGTAACAAAGCTAAAGGTAGCTATTTAAATGAAAATGAATTCATTAAAGTAAATGAAAATTTCTATTCCTTAGTTTCACTAGACACATTTTTAATCTTCTTTGGCCTTATGTGGCTAGTGGCGATGTTACTGGCAAGGCAAAAATTTCTTTGGTGGTGCTGAACTTTCTAAATCAGCTGAAAGTCTTTGGGTGGTTCTGATTTTGTCTTTTGTTTGAGAACAGAGGCACACACAAGTGGTTAGATTCCTTTGCTAGTAAATCCCTTTAGATTGATTCAATTGTCAATTAATTTAGTAGTTAATTTTACTGGTATCTTAATATTTTTGAATTTACATAGTTGTGGTAATAATGATGTATTGTGTTAATGGTTAAACCATGTATTAGTTAAAATGTCATTTGCACTTTGATCATGTATGTTTTTTTAATGGGACAATTACATTTATAATAAACTCACTAAAGTATATTTTCTTTCTTTTTTTTTTTTTAAATTAATGGCCTAGAACCTATAGAATCAATTTTCATAACATAGCATATTTTTTTCTCAGGGCATCATTATCTTGTGTTAATATCATCTGTATTTTGTATTTCTGCCTGATGGAAATACCTTAAAAACCTACATATTAAATGTTAATTCAGGTTTTAGCAAATTCTGTACTCTTATAATTTAAAAAAAAAATTCATCATAAAAAAAGAAGAAAATATTCATCATAGAGGAACGTATGCGTGTTAGGAAATAATAAAATAGGAGAAAAGCTCACAAATTCCAGATTTCCCTCCTTGGGAGCCAACCTGTCTTCCTTTCTGTCGTTTCCCTCTTTTATGCTCACTCTCTCACTTAGCCCACTGCTGGTTCCTTTTCTCTGTTTTATTTTTTAAATAATATCACTATTTGATATATTGGTTGATTCCTATGAAATTGCCATTTTTACAGCTCAAAAAGTTTGAACTATCAGCAGTTTCATAAGGTCAGCCAATCCTCATTATTTTAATTGGTTGTTTATTGCCTTTTTCCTCCCACCAGAGTGTAAGGTCCTTGAGGTCAGAGCTTTGCTTTTCTGCAAGGTTCTATCCTTGGCATGATTAACTACTAAATTCCAGCCTGAGAATTTATATTCGCTCATAAACCAGAGGCTACAATTAGCTGGGAGATAGGAGATGACCAGCCGAGTCTGTCAACTGGGGAATAGCAAAGCCTTAAAAAGGAAAAATAGGGTAAGTATTTGAGGCTAGCTTTTGAAAGCTGAAATTCATATCTCGACTTGATTTGGAAAGCTGTTCCTGATTTTCTACGTCAATGGCTTTTCTTCATGTCTCCTCTAAGTCTTTCTTCCAGTTGGTCTGCCCCTTTGTTTTCTGATCCATTCTGTCCAAATCACTTGCTACTCTTAGAGAAAATTGAGCCCTGAAACTTTCTGGTTTTGAAGAAAAAAAATATATGGCCATTAGGAAACTTAGAGAAAAGCAAAATTCCCTTATACTGATAATTTCCCCCTCCATTTCTTACTGCAATTAAAAATTTGAAATTACAAAACTCTCAAAGGGTAAAGTAATAGAACAAATGGAGTTTGCCTGGGCTGTGAAATATTCATAGTACTTCCTTTGGGATTTATATTAAGGATAGGTGGTGGTCTGCAGCTGTTTTCTTTTATATTGTTAACAGCCAGGATGATTTAATAAGATTTTAAAAAAAAAATTTTTATTTAGAATGTTTCTCAGTTTGTATATTGTTTTGCGGTTCTGTTGGTTTAAGGAGCAGGAGGTGAAAATTGAAGGTGCGTCTTGAAAGCTTTTTTCTCATGAAGCAGCTCCAGGCTGTGCTACATGTAGTTTTTTGTTTTTGTTTTTTTAACTGGAGGCAAATTGAGTAAGTGCATTTATGCATTGCTGAATTAGAATCTTAGATTGGAACTAGTATTTTTTTGGATTGTACTGGAAGGAAAAGTATCATTACATAATATTCATTATGACTATTCAGTAAACAAAGCTTATTTATACTCACATTGAGCAATAAGAGTTCAAACTTTGGGTATTTGTATTTAATTTCTACAGGAAATAGATAAAATATACTGGAAGATTAAAAATAAAAGCAAAGCCAGCTTTTATTTTATCAAAATGAGGAAGAGAAGTTTGGGAAGCGATTTGTAGCTTCTTCATGGGGAGGGGGGAGGGCAGGCACCCAGCAGAGAAAACTTCACTCCTTAGGACAAATATATTAATAAACCCAAACATATGGCCTGGCCTGACCTACCTAGTCCTTGAGGCTACATTAGAACTTTGGAGGTCAGCTACTTGATGGTGAAACACTACTCAAAAAGAAAAAAGCTCAATAAAAACATTTAGCTCTGCTATTGGAGCTATTCAGATAAAGTCTTTTCCGGTAAATCTCTTTCCTCTTCATCTAGAAGTGGATAATGAAACTGTCCAGGGACATGAAACAATGTTGATAAAATTTTATTCCACTACTCCTTGATCCTCTTGCTACAGTTGTGAGGTCACTGTTATGCTCAACTTCATTGTTGCAGTCCATGTCCTTGAAGGTCTTTCCTTTCCAGACCCTCTATTTCATTAAGCATACCTGTTTTGACTTTAAACCATCAAATGTTCCCTTACTCCATTCAGATTTGATTGTTCTTTATGGATATGGTGTTTTCAGTATTCTTCTCCAAAACCACAACTCAAAAGCATACCTTTCTCTTTGGTATTCCTTATTCACTGCCCGGCTTTCACAGGCATGTTGATGTACATCATTGGGTTACATCCGACTCATAGATGACTCTCCAGGGGCTTTCCAGAGGCAGTAAATCACACAGGAGAATACCTGTCTTTCTCCCCTGCAGCAGCTGGTGGGTTCGAACCATGAAGAGATCTGTATTTATTCCCATTCCAAAAAAAGTTACCCAGCAGAGTGTGGAAATTATTGAAGAATATTACTGTAATCACACGCAAGCAAGATCCTGCTGGAGATTATCCAAAAATGACTGGAACAGCACATTAGCAGACAACTGCTAGATGTGCAGGCTGTTTTTAGGAGAGGCTGTGGCACTAGGGATATCCTTGGTGACATTTGATGGATCTTGGCTGAAAGCAGAGAATACCAGAGGAATGTCTTGTCTGTGTTTCATTGATTAAGCAAAGGCATTTATCTGTGTGGATCACAACAAATTGTGGCTGACTTTGAGAAGAATAGGAATTCTAGAACACCTGATTGTATTCAGGTGAAACCTATAGTTGGACCAGGAAGAGCAGGCAAACACTGCATGGTTCAGAATCAGAAAAGGTGTTCATCAGGGATGCATCCTATCTCCATACTTTTTTAATCTACATTAGAACAGAACAGATTATTTAGCAGGTTGGACTTTATGAGTAGTATGGCATCAGGATTGGAGGAAGACTCATCAACAACCAGCACTGTGTAGAGGACACAACCTTGCTCACTGAAATTGAGGAGGATCTAAGGTGTTTGCTGCAGAAGCTCAAGGACTATAGTCTTCAATATAGATGGAAAATAAAATCAAGAAAACAAAGATTCTCTCCACTGGGCCATTTGACAGCTTTATGATAGACTGAGAAGAGATTTAGGTTGTCAATAATTTCAGCTTGCTTGGTTCCACAATCAACACTCTTGAAACAGCAGTCAGGAAATCAAAATATGAATTGTTTTGGTAAAGTCTGCTGTCAGGCACCTCATTAGAGTACTGAAGAGCAATGATGTCATTTTGGAGATTAAGGTGTGCCTGATCCAGGCCGTGGTCTTACATGCTGTGCATCTGAGAGCTGGTCAATAAGGATGATAGAAGGAGGATCAATGCTTTTGAATTGTGGTGTTGGAGAAGAGTGTTGAACATATTGTGGACTGCCAGGAGAACAAATAGGTCAATTCTGGCTTCTCTCTTGTAAGGATTTTGAAGCTCCATCTCACATACTTGGAGCATGTAAGCGACTCGACAGCACATAACAACAACAACAATATGTGTTGGAGAGCTTAGATGGCTTAGTAATAAGGAATTGTGCTGTGAACCTGAAGATGGTTGTAGTTGTTATGCATTG